AACCAAACTACCTAGTACAGAAATTCGGGTTCGCATTTCAGCCCGGAGTTTTCCCGAAGATGTACGTCTCCAAAGAGATCTGGGCCTTCTTTTTTTGTTTTTGTTTTTTTTTTGTTTTATATAAATTTTTTTTTTAAGGTAATTCATTCTATTAAGAGCATGTTTACATATTAATAATGGAGAAAGTAAGGAATCGGAGAACTACTGAATCGGTATGGGAAGAATCATTCCCATTAAGTTGTTTACTAAACATATGGAATTAGCAAAGGAATGGGATTAATTCCTCTTGTTATTGTTTACTAATTTTCATGAATCAAAATCAAAATTAATTTGATTAATAAATTGCCCTGTACATTTTCACCACTGCACATATATAATTCTCAAATTGGCTAAGGAAACCAAACTAATCCTACAGCATACCAGTAAGGCGGTGCAAACATGAGGAATCCATATGCTAAACAAGATGAACAGCAAGAGCCCACTTCAATGATAATGTTATTAACACCTTTGTTCAGAGCCAATTTCAAACGAAAAAATAAACTCCAATAAATATATATATATTTCACTTACGTAACTAGTAAACAATCAAATAATAATAACCTATCTTCATACATTAAATACATGGAACTTCTTGAAAATGAGTTTTTTTTTTTTTTTTTTTTTTTTTTTTTTTTTTGAGGGTTGGAACTTGTTGGTGTGAGTTTGTTTGTTTTTTTTTTGGGTTTGGGGTGTTTTGGAATTATGGTAAAGTGATAATGGTAATTTTTGGAAGTTACTAAGACAAAATATGAATGAGAATCGTATCGACTACACTCCCTAGTTGATCTTATACCTAGTTATGAGGGTATGTGATTACGGATTTTGAGGTGAGGCCCACTTATTTTTTATTCCTGATTGCAAGTAAATGCAAGGGAAGTCAAGAATGGAAATCATTCTTTTTCCTATCATACCTATTACTAATACGTAAACATGCCCTAAAATGAAAGGGATTACACTGAATAGGTACAAGGCCTCAACCCAATAGAAATAAAAAGAAGCCACATAAAGGAAAAACCCTAAAACAAATATCTAGGCCAATACAAGGACTCGAACACACACATGGTTCGACATGGATTTCAAAATGGAATTTGGGTCGAGTCTTGTCAATTTGGTATCAGAGCATAACTAATTCAGTTAAGTTTACAACTAGAAATTTAATTGTAGTAGAGTAAACGCCTACAAAAGAGGGAAGAAGGAAATGTAGTAGATGGTGACATGCCCTCAAGTGGTTGTTCGATACTCATCTACTACCTAGGGGATGCAAAACAAGGAAAGTGTGAATGGACAGAAAATTAAATATTAACATAGTGAGAACATAATAACCCCACCATTTAAAATTAGGGAGTTTCACTAAAACACCCAAAATGGGGGCTGAAATTATAAAAAAACCCAACACCCAAAACACTATATAAACACATCCAAAACCCATTATTACATACACTCAAAACCCATTTATAAACACACCCAAAAAATATACAATTGTTGATTTTGGGTGTGTTTCTATGTTTAAATAGTGCCTGGGTTTTTTTTAAAAATACATGTCTAGGATTTGGTTTATTTATAAATTTGTATTAAAATTATTAGCAAACTATATATAATTCTATGCTATGTTTATACAAGTAACTAATATTCATACATAAGCATAATATATTAAACAAAAGACAAATCACCGATTTAAAATAAAAGAATTTCTTAACTGTAAAACTTTTCACCTAGATGTATCCCATAGAAAATTAGTCAATTCCAGGTATCACACTGTAGGGGACTTTTTCCTCCAGGCAGCAAGTGGGCTGGGCTGCTGTAAAGAGCAATCTGATGCAAGTGTCCCCTTGTGTCTGAGTTCGAAGATCAAGCCCCAAGGATGTCTCGAAAGGGTGATGACGCCTTAGGAAACTCCTTGGTTACCTTCACCAATGAAAATGACAACAAATTACAAATATTCTAGCTTGGCATGAGTGACTTATGGCATGGGAGCAAAAATTATCATGGGTTTAGCACTTTAGGAGAGAGAGATCTGTGGGTTCCTATGAGGTACAAAGGTTCTAATGGAGATGGAGAGAGGCTCTAAGGAGGTTTGATGAAGAGGGAGAAGGATGGTGAAGAGTTTTGGGTGACTTTCGCAGTTTCCGGCAGCTTGACAGTGACTCTGTCAAAGCTTCTGTCAATCTGCCAAAACAGGGGAAATAAAGGAAAATGAGGAAGGATAGCACGAAAATTCCTGGGTTTGCATGTGAGAGAGAAAGCTTGCTCTCTGAAGGTTGTGGGTTGTGTTGTGTTGGGTAGAAGGGGTCCTATTTATAGCTGCTGGGAATGGGTCTTCTCTAAGAAACCCTAATGGTTTCTTTCCAATCTAGCTAAGCTTTCCTCTTCCTTTCTTCTCCTCTTGCTTGACTTACCTCATGGAGGCAAAAATCAGTTCTGCCCAATCCCACAAAATCAGGGATTTTTGGGAGCTCGAGGCTTCAACAGCTTCAGAGGAGAGCTTCCATTTTCACCCATCTTCTTTCTCTTCTTTCCTCCTCTTTTCACGGCCAAATCTAATGAAGGAAAGAAAATGGGTGCGCCTGCTGGTTTAAGGGATAGCATCTTCACATGCGTGCTAATACCCCTTGGTTTCTTAAATGCTTGCACTTTGAACTTGTTCCCCCAGCAGCCCCTCACATGTGAATCTCTGGCTTTCTTCGTGGACTTCTGCTTCAGCCAAGTGCTGAAGGCCTTGGACTCCTTTTATTCAAATGGTATGGGCCCTTTAATATAGAAGGCCAAGTCATCTAATAAGTGGGTTAAATTCACCAAGTATTTGGGCTTTATGGGCTATCTAAAGTAATGGGTTATTTTGGTTGGGTTACTCTAGTTGAAGCAATTGGGCTATTTCCTCTCTTGTGCTTACCCACATGTTTGGGCCTAAGAAATGGGCTTGGGTTCCGAGGCTCCCAAGTAACCCGGAACCTCCACTTCTTGGTCCATCAATGGGCCTCATGACAATTTATTACCATCCATACCACAACCCACTCAAGCAAGCTCCAGGTATTTGAGTGGCTTGGGGCCCACTTAAGCTTGTGGCGTGATTAGGTGCGGAATGATAATTCCTTGCTTAGCGTGGCGTGTCGTTTGGCGTGGCATGTGTGCAAGCGCATATGATGAACTTTCGCATGCCCAAATCGGGTTTCTTCTTGGTAAAGCATCGCATTGGGCAGAGAATTTATTTGGGCCGAACTGTGAATATTTTGGGCCTCAACACACACACATGGCCACATGTGTGATACATCTTCGCAGAACTCATAGGACACAAAAGTCGGCCTAAGATGCAATCCTCGCAGCACATGGTTCCAGCGTCTCTGAGACTCATGGCGCATGGTCATACCCGCATAAACTTTTCCAAAAGTAACCAAATTGTCCCAAGACAAACCATTTCCTGACAACAACTGAGATGTCTGAGAACATCATAAAATCCGAAACTTTTCTCAATATCATTTTTTAAACCATTCTCAATTTACCGAACTAGTTTTACTTATCAATAATAATAATAATAATAATAAAACTTTTTTTTTAACCGGAACCAAATACTCAGAAAGAAAATATTATAAATAATTTGTCCACAAAGCATTTCATAAACCATCATAGTATGAAAAATCAATATAAATAAATGTCCACTCTATGTGAGTCCAATCTCGCTTGACCCTTCCAAGGTCCTTCCGATTGAGCACGTGAAGTCTAAGAGCCAAAGAAAGAATATAAAGTTTGGTTAATGAAAAGTTCCGCCTCAAGCCCTTAATCAAAACCAAATTCCTGGAATTTACAAAGTGTGTTCACAATCCTCGAAAAGTTTGTTATCGTTCAACTAAACCCCTTCAACAAGTCCCAAGAATTTCATTAAGTTTTGATAGCCCGACTTATCGAACCCGAGAATAAGCAATAGGCAAAATTTAGTAAAATACTCAACCGATCGAATTTAGCTAATCCGAGCATACCATAGTGCTCAAGACGACGAGGGGTAAATTTTAGGGTGAAAATAGTTTGTCAACATCTGGCTGACGCACCACCGCCGACGGTGGGTGACATGAGAAATTTCCAACAACCAGAAAATCTCCAAACCACCGACCAATTTTTATACCAACAGGTCAAACACACTTAGAGGAGTGTTCTTAATTCTTAGACCCCGACCAGAAAGTGGCTAGAGTGGCCTGAAACATGGCCAAAACCGCTGGCCAAAATGGGTGTCCTAATCACTTCTTTAAACCACGAAATCTGCCCAAACTAACTCCAAAAACATATAAATCATGGAAAAATGATGAAAATCCATACCTTGTTTGACAAAATTGGTGGCGAGAGTTGCTCGAAAATTCCAAAAATCGGCTGGCGTCGGGTGGAGCTTTTCGAATCGGTTTCAGTCCAATATCCAGGTATTCTTGGGTTTTTTGAGTTCAATTGAGGAATGGGTTAGGTAGAGGAGACGTAGACGAAGCTTTTGTGGGTAGTAGCATAACTTGGAACAGTCATTGTGAACAATCACTATCAAAAGGAGAGACGCGAGAGAGAGGGGAAGAATCAAGAGGGAGAGTGAGAAAATGAGGGAAAAAAGAGAAAATCTGACTTTTTAACACCCTTCTTGCAAAAATTACGATCATGCCGTTACACTTCTTTTGATCGTAACTTTCTCGTTTCAACTCCAATTTGGGCCCACTAAATGTCTATGAACTCGTGAGCTTATGCATTACGTAATGGAGCCAAGAAATTTTCCAAAACCATCTCCGAACAAAAATCAACCCTAAACCACCAAAACCCAAAAAAAAACAAAAAACAAAAAAAAACTCTAAGGGTAGGATCGTCCTTTGTTTAAAAAAAAATATAATTAAATAAATTATGTGGGGGTGGGATATTACATGCAACACCCTAGCAGGTTGCAGCGCAGCTCCAAAAAAAAACAAAAACAAACAAACAAACAATAGTCGAGGTCGCTACTAGCAGAAGTCGACAACTACCGCAACAATAGCCTTCTCATATGACCTCGGCACAGCCAACATAAGCTGGTCCCATAATCGGTCCAAGCGCATGAGCCAGTCAGCATGCCTCGGTTCAACAAAAGCTGACCCATTGGCCCACATAGAGAATAAGAGGATCACATGACCATCTCGGCAGTTGCTGTCAACGACGGACCTAGAAATTTTTCAAAAAAGGGGCAATATTTCAAAGGCTAAAAGCTTAACAAAACAAAGACAACCAAATAACCTGATAATTTAAACGATATTTAAAAGGCTAAAAACACTATGTTAATCATATTAACCAATTCACCATGTTAATTATATACAAATAAACACCACATTGAAATATTAACCAATTCACCATATTAATCATTTAATCAAACCACAACAATCATTACTAATTAATTCAAAACTAAAAATATATATAAATAAATAAATTCAAAATAATCTATACAAAAACCAAAATAAAAACTCAATCAATTAACCAAAACCTAACAATCCATCTTAATTAATTTAAAGCATAAAGAGAAATTACTTTGAAATTTAAGAGAGAAATTAATTTTCCAAACAAATTGTGGAGGGTTGGTCCATTGGTGGATGGCTTATCTCTTATGGTTTAGAAGCTGCCATGGCTTATGCCCACTTCACAACCCTTCTTTCACCTCTAAAAACAAATGGGTTTCTACCAAATGAATCAAAGAATACAGAGAGGTAGAGAGATCCTTTCATGGTTTCGTTGTTGAATGAATGTAATGGAATTTACTTGTACCAATTTGAGAGAGTGAGAGATAGTCAATGATAATGAAAAAAGCACAAAGAAAAAAGCTAGTGGATGATGGAGGCAAAGGAGGATTGAGAAAAAAGGAATGTGGTTGGGGAGTTGGTCGGTGTGGGTAATGGTGGTTTAGGTGTGGAGGGGTAAGGTTAAGAGTTGGGGATGATAGGGTTTATTTGGGATTTCCAATTTCGATTGAAACTCATTTGAGGTTGGCCCTTTCTTTTTATTTTCTTTTTATTATTATTATATATAAAAATTTCACTTGGACCAAAACTATGCGTTTTGGACATATCACATAAAAATAAAAATAAAAAACCAAGCAGCCCTACACAAAGCGCTACTGCCTGGAGCTTATTTGGAGCAAATAATCGAACAGCTGGTGGGCAGTAGCAGAGGGGCATTTCCAACTTCTCCAAGTGATTTTCTAGCGAGGGGAGGTGCAGCTGCACCTCCTTGTGCCTCTGTAGATCTGCCAGTGGCCACCGTGACAACCGTTACTCCAGCTGATCCTCACAGTCATGGCTTGCGCCAACTGGACCTCGTTGTGAAGAGCTATATAAAAATAATAATAATAATAATAAAATCAAATCGTGGCAACAGCCGCCAGTGACCACTACTGCCATCACTGTTATTGGCCACTCCAGCCTTTGCCGTTGCGTCACGACAACAACTGGCCAGGTCCACCTAGCCAATTCTCACCACGAAGAAAAGAAAAAAAACCATGCTTGACCTTGATGTGTACGACAACTCCTCTCCTCGACAAGCAGTACGATCCTCCAAGATCTCTCTCACAAACTAGAAAGTATAGGAAAACAAGTTTACAATTTGAAGATGAGTGAAGAGAAGCCTTGCATTTATAATGGTTAGGCATCCTAGGTCAAGAAGGAATCAAAGGCCTAATCCAATTAGAAGCCCAACTCCAAGAAGAAATTAAAAGTCTCCTCCAGTTATGAGCCCAATTCACAAAAGAAGCCTAGATACAGTTGGAAAACTTGATAAACATTTCACATATCCTTCATGCCACGTATGTGCCATGCAGAAGCCAGGGGGCATTTGTGGGAGCACATATTTTAGCAATCAATTATGAGGTGCTACATGGACAATGAGAATATTCCTTAGGTCAACAATTGTGCTCCATTTAATTGACCAATTGTTTAGACTTAAAATAGAGATATCACCATGAATTATGGATTTGATTTTCATTAAATCTCCCTAATTGATCCAATCTATTCATTTAATGGAGAGAATAATTTCCTTCCATATAGGAATTATTCTCCAAAAAACCCTAGGAGGCAAAAGCTTCATAAATACATGGCCACCCCTTCTCTCTCTCTCTCTCTCTCTCTCTCTCTCTCTCTCTCTCTCTCTCTCTCTCTCTCTGCCACCCAATTCTCTCGTACCGTAGAGAAAACTATGACTTTTTATGTTATTTTTGTATCTTCCTCAAGATCATATAACTGACTTAGGCATCGGATGACATTTGGCCAACACCCCCCGTGTTTGGTTTATTTACTCCAACTTTTTTTCGCAGGAATTGAGGAAGAAGAGAGAAAAGGAAGCTTGAAAGGTGAAGAATCTCTTACGAATATTCTCCCGTGAGAATTTTGCTCAAACAAAAATTGTAGGTCCAATTAACAAGAAGAAAAGAATAAAGAATATGTAAGGAAGAAATATTACAAACCTCCATAATTATGTGTCAAATAAGTTATCTAGTCAATATCTTTTTATTCCATCCAAATATTGGGTTGAATAAAGTCCTGCTTGGGCAAACTAACAAAGGTTTTATCAGATTGAATTTTGTTGAAAATATCTATTTGAGGACTTGTGAATATACAACCCATAATGGAGCACAAAATGGAGGGAAAGTACATTATTACAAGCATTTTGTAGGGACTGACAGAAATTTAAAAAGAATTAAATTACAAAACCTACCCAATTCTTAATTATCAATTTAACACAAAATAGAAAAGAAATGTATAACAAAATTATGCTATGGGAAATTGCTTGACTTCCAAAAACGATTTGGGTCTTCGAAATAAATCTAGGTGGTAGAGAAGACTCTGAATGCTACCACCACCAATCAAAATTCACCATGTGACAAATTTCAATCTGCAAATTCATCAGGTGAATGTGGGAATTTCTTGGCTATATATAAATGTGGATCCAAACAAGAACCATCAAATTCTCTCACGTCCCAACCCTTTCAAGATTTTCAGAGACAGTTTTCATCCTTGGCCTAACCTCGGGATCTGTCTCAGTACATGCAAGCGCTACATGAAAGGCTGCTAGCACCTCTTTCTTGGCATGCACTTCTTGAAGCAACAAAGGGTCTACCATATCTGACAAAGGGTTTTCGTCCTCAAACCCTTTCCTCACCCACCTCACCAAGTCTGGGACTTCGACGGAAGTTGATGTGGTCGGAGAGAGCTCGGGGGATTTTCCAGTGAGCAATTCAAGCATCACAACTCCAAACGAATACACGTCCCACTTTTGGGTGGGTTTGTTGCCCGGGACTCGGGCCTCCGGGGCACGGTAGTTGTTTGATCGCTCTGTTGGGACTGATTTTAGGTAAGGCAGAGCTCCACCCATGAAGCCACCTGAGGAGGGGTTGTTGCCTGTGATGGTTATCAGTTTGTTGAGTCCAAAATCGGAAATGTAGGCTTGAGATTCATTGTCAAGAAGAATATTGGAGGGTTTGATGTCTCCGTGTACAAACTTTCTTGGGCTGCATTCGTGGAGGTAGGCCAAGCCCCGGGCTGTTCCCTTGGCGATTTTTAGCCTCGTGGTCCATGAGAGGCTTGATGATGACTGGCCATTTCTCCCTGAAAAATGAAGTAGAGTTTCCAGTTTCATTAGCTTTCTTTTTAAAAAAATTAAAGGAAGGAATTAATTAAAGAAACAGTTATGTAGTCAAAAGTAACATACAAACAAAGTCTATAATATTGTCGCCAAAAGTAAAATATTAAAATGTACAAGAATTGCAATATGCCCATGCCCATGGGCCATGGTAGTTGCAGTGGCTGTGGCTCCATGCCATCAAGGAAACGTAAAAAGAAATGCAAAAAGTATGATGATCATTTCAGGTCAGAGAAGGACAAAGAGAACAAAATCCGCCCTTTGGTTGTGAAAAAGGCCACAGAAAATAAGACTCATCGGCAGCATGAGAGAGGAATGATCATCCTGACCTACCAAGTTGTGATTGAACCATACAAATGTGCAAGCCCCACAACACAGTTTACTCACTCGTGTCCCATCGCAGCACTGATCCACTGTCCACATGCAAAGTGCTCTACCCCTGGGCCACTCTTCACATACTCTCACGCAAAGGTGAAAATTGTAACATCAAATTTAACCAAGGCAAAGACCCCTTGTTCCTAACTCAAACAATACAAGCCACAACTCTTACCCAGAATTGAAGAACCAATAGGAGATCATGTCTTTTTTTTAATGAGTAAAAGTTTACGGGGAGGGGAGGCTACCCATCCTATGGTCAAGGCATACAAAGGCTTCTTTGAGGACTTACAGAGCGGGTCTTAACTCCACTTTGGGTTTTTACATATTACCCACTAAGGAAGATTATCGGCAGCGGGATTCGAACATAAATCTCAATAGTAAAAAGAACGATTCTTACGAACTCAACAAATCCTCGTTGGCAGATCGTGTCATTTTTCTATTACTTGCAAAGTTGGCAAAGATTTATTAGTTTCAATTAGGTCTAATTTTATGAGCTATCTGGCCCATTAGGAAAAAGAAAATGATGGTTAAAAGAGACCAACAAACAATGATAAGCGTTGAGAAACATAATACAAGATCATCATTCGTGCACTACGCGGGATAATAATTAGTTCCCGCTGCCCATTAAACCTGTACGCCCTAAACGATCGATCCAGGCCCCAACCAATAACAATTAATTCAAGCTTCTACAATAGCCCAAATCTGGGCATAAATAAACTACCTAATCGTGGCCCAGCTGCATTATATGCCTTCAACAAAGACTATCAGTCAACTAAAAGACGCCAACCAAAACACGACACATCAGATTCTGACTCACAAACGACAAAACCACGTAATTCAATTCACACAACTGCATACAAACAAAATAAAACAAATAGAGGAAGAAAAGAAAAAAACTCACCGCGAAGAGCAGAGGCCAAGCTGCCATGAGAAATGAAATCACTGATCAGAAGCTTCTCATCCGGAGCCCAATAATAAGCTCTCAATTTCACAACATTCGGATGTTTCACTCTCCCAATCGCCTGAACCTCGGCCGCAAACTCCTTGTACCTCTGATCACCGCCCTCACCCAATCTCCTCACAGCCACAGGGATGCCATTGCCGAGCACCACTTTGTACACGATCCCCAACCCGCTCTTGCCCAGCACATAAGCCGAAGCTCTCAGAAGCTCGTCGAGCTCAAACGTGAACCCTTTATCAATGGCCACGAGATCTCCCTCCCCTTTTCCCCTCTCTGCTTTTTCTGGGTCGCCCTGTTCCGAATCCTCGTTCCCAAACCCGCCATTGATGCAAGCGCAAGAACAGAGTTGACAGAGATGAAGCTTCTCGTTCCCTCCAAATTTGCTCTTCCCTGTACAGCTACAGCCGTTCGAATTATCTTTTCTTTTCCAATAGATGTAAACGACGACTAGCCCAATAAACGCCACTCCCGCCGCGTCAGCCACCGATATTAAGATAATCAAACCCGGACTCAAACCCTTTCTCGGACCGTTTTCGGATCCCGGTCCCGAATTCGGATTACCCGGCGAGCTCTGCCCCGGGTTCTTACAAGTTTTCTGAAGCGGAAACCCGCATAGCAGAGGATTGTTCAGAAACGCAGTAGGCCCCTGATTCGAAAACGACCCCGTTTGGGGAATTTCCCCGCTCAAGTTATTGTTTCGGAGATCGAAACTCACCGTCACAGGTAAATCGCCGAGAGATTTCGGAATCTTGCCCGATAAGTGATTGTACGAGAGGTTGAGGGTACCGGACAGGGACTTCAACTCGCCGAAATCCCCCGGTACCGATCCGGTGAACTCGTTCGAGGAAAGGTCTAATTGGATTACATTCTCCATATCGGACCAAATTCCAGCCGGAATTTCGCCGCTGAATCTGTTCCTCGAGAGAATCAATCGCTGCAATTGCTTGCAGTTCTTCAAGTACTCTGCTTGGAGCGAACCGGAAAGAGAGTTGTTGGAGAGGTCGAGGTTCTGGAGGCGGGGGAGGTTGCAGATCGAGGGAGGGAGCGAACCAGAGAGGTTGTTACCGTAGAGGAAGATGCTGTGGAGTGAGGTGGCGTTGAAGAGCTGGGAAGGGATAGAGCCGTGGAAGTTATTGCTGTGGAGGTTGAGCCGCCGGAGATAGACTAAGGTTCCGAGCTCGGACGGAATATACCCGCGGAGATTCTTGCCGGAGAGCGCGATTCCGACGACGCGGGGGTCCGGGAAGCCGGTGACGTTCATGCAAGAAATGCCGGTCCAGCGGCAGGGGGTGTCGTCGGTGTCGAGCCAGTCGGAGAAAGCGGAGCCGTCGGATGGCTGTTCGACGGCCGATTTTAGAGAGAGGAGGGAGAGGCCGTCTGGGGTAAGAGAGAGAGTGACGTCATGAAGATAGAGATGAGGAGGAAGAAGAAAATGGAACGTTCCATAATTTGGCAGAGAAAAATAAAAATGGGAGCGAAATCGTAAATTGAAATGTGGTTTCTAATTGAAATGCATGTTGTTGTTGTTGTTGTTGTTGTTATGGAGAGAGAGAGAGAGAGAGAGAGAGAGAGTAGTTGGTGTGGGTGGGCTGGTGCCCGCCGGTATTTATGAGAAAGAGACTTGAGATGGAGGAGATTTGATTAGTGGGGTCCACCTCCCGCCAAAAAGAGAGAGAGATAGAGCTGAAGAGAGAGAGGACCGGCTAACAGAACAAGAGGGAGGGGGGGGGGCAAGGAGGGAGTAGAAGAAAAGCAAAGGCATAGAGAGAGTGGTGGCTTTTGCAATGTGTTTTTAAAGCATGAATTGAATATGATGCTGATGTTACATGTACTATATGGTCACTGGTCAGGACTAGTTATAAATAACGTTCCATCATTTTCTGGACTCTTTGTTGGTTTTCTCTAATTTCATATCCTAGGTTAACTAATAAACTAAGCCTTGCTTGCAATATTTTTATGTTTAAGAGGAAAATGCTAGGGACGGTAATTCCCCGCCTCTCTCGTCGATGAGTCTGGCCACATTGTGAGAGTCACATTCATCAACAACAGTCACTTATACCGTGTACTAGATAAGTGTAAGTTACATTATAAAATACACACTATTATCAATGACTGAAGCGTGCGTGTGCGACTATCCTAACAAAACTCATATGTTTAATTAGCACTGGAATCACTTGTTTATGATAAGAGAATCATTTGTTTGATAAGATTGTATGAGCATGCACGGAAATTTTTGGAACTTAAACTATTAGAATAAAGAAATATATGCCCAGACACAGTCACACAGTCTATCTGTTGTGGCTCCATTGGTCCACAGAAACAGCAGCAACGAGCAAGAGAAACTACAAATGAATGAAGCAAGCAATGGTTATTGGTAGGAAAAAGAATCTCCAACTAAAAGTCTGACTTATGTTGACCAAAGAAAAAGGAGTATCTCTGATGAATCCCTTAAGGTTTCGCAATTAATTGACAGCAACCAAACAGAGACATATAGTTTTACAGTAAACTGATTTGGTAGTTTTTTAATTTTTATAGACGAAAATTCTAATTACTCTAATGTACGGGATGTGACTATAAAACACAATTACATAATTAATCAGAGATCGTGCGAAATAGCAGATTTTGTTTCCCAAAATATTTTTTATTAATCATGTAAACTAATTACATAATTGTTAAGTGGAAACTTGCATAATAATGATATCTTATTCTTAATGATGAAAACATGCTTAGAAGCTAATAAATCAGGGCTAAATTGCTCTGGCTTTGTACTGTCTTTTGATTGTCCTCCTGTCTTCATTCGAGTAGTTGCCAGATTGGAATCTATCTACACATCATTTTCATTTCGGTGGAACAATGTATTCTACGAATTATTGTACTTTATTTATTTAATGGACCATTAATATAATTGCACCTTAATTTATTGGCTATAAAAAGTAGCCTCCCTTCCCTTTCTGTACTTGATTTTTAATGAAAAAAAAATTCTGGCTAGAATATATTTGGTAGATAGCATGTAGTGATGACATCGTGTGACAAAAGACAAACCCTTATATAGGCAAAAATAATGTTATTATTATCCAATGCTTTGTACTTAAGGGATGTAATTGATTGGGCTTGAATCAAAGTTAACTCAATCCCAACTCAACCAGCCTGCCTTTGGTTTGGTTTGGTTTGATTTGGTTTTGATTTTGGTTGTTCAACATGCTCATGAGAAAGGTAGGGCCCATTTACCACAAAATTTGGTTCTCTTCGTTGACGCATTTGATTTGAGTGACCTCACTGAAGCATGCTGGGGTGGTAGGTCTGACTCTGATTAAACCTAAAAAGAGTAGAACCAAAAAGTGGGAGAGAAAAGTCCAGTGTTTGCCTTGTAGTGTAATCTACAACTTCTAATTTGCATCTGTTTCGAATTTCTTAATGATTGGCAGACACGCCCAGATCGACTTCAAGGGAAATTTTTTTAGAGATATTTAGTCATATACCAATTTTTAGCATTAAAATTATAAATAAATCTTACACCATTTAATTTTTATAAACAAATCCAAAAAATAACAGCTGGTCCCATTGAATTTAATATTGATTATTAAATTACTTTAATGCCCTATTAAGTGTTTTGGACTTTTTTGTGAGGTTTTGGGGTTAAGTTTGTTTTAAGAAATTAATGTCAGTTTTGTAATTCAAAAGAAGTTAAAAACCTTTTTGTTATGTTGTAAATGAGTTTTGAGTGTGTTTCTAAAGTCCATTTCATTTATGTTGTTTTTATAATTTGAGTGTGTTTCTAAACCTATCACAAGATGTTCCAATAAAAACTCGCGTCAGTGGAACGGTTAGGTTGCACGCGACGTGGGAAAACCATCCATCAATCTTTGGGAAGCACAGGTTCTTCAAACCCCATAGTCTTCCAGCCTTCAACAACTGCATTCTGAAAAAAGGCGGTGTTCTTGGGGTGTTGGTGAAACGCTGTCCTCCTATCAATCAATGTCACAAGACCAAATTTCTGGTCTTGATAGTATGCAAAGGCTTGGTTGTCAATCAACTTAAAGTATTTCTGGCACGGATTTGTGAGGGAGATGTCGAGGGTAAGGTTATAGGAGAGAGTATGGTTGGTTTCGATGTAATTGAACTGGTTAAAGATAAGCACCGCTGATACTGAATTCAGGTTTTTGTATGACCTTGAAATGCTTGTTGTGAGGCAGACGACCAAGGTGCAAATACCAGCAACAAAAAGGAGCAATACATTGCCTTGACTGCCGATACTCTGAGCTTTCGGTTGCAGACATGGCTAACAAGAAGCAAGCAAGAAATTGAAAGAGAGACTGCCCCCACTCCAAGGTCTTGTTAAAAGAGAAATTGAAAAATCAGTTACTTTTGGGGGAGAGAAGAAAGAAATAGATGTATTGAACAACAAAACAAATAATTTCAGGGATTGGTTTTGGTGGAAAGTTAAGGAAATTTGTTTTGACGACTGACTACACTTCCCAGTCTTAATAGTTAGTTAATGTAGATAATAACATGAACACGGGCATACATGATTTGTAAACCCTAAATCGGAAATGCAGGCTTGAGATTCAATGTCAAGGACTCAAGATGTTGGAAGAGGGTTTGATCTTTTTCTTGGGTTCCCCTTAGGACTGTTGATGATAGTACTGACCGCAAAACAGCCCTAATCAGTGGTTGCAAAATACAGCATCAAGGAAAGATGCTCTGATGTATGGTATGGGTAAACAATACATGTTTATGGCCCAAAATCCTCCACGAAACTCTTCTAATGTTCAATTGTTAAAACAAGTGAAAGGAAGTTTAAATCAACGAAAGAAGCATGCAGCTATGCCCAAACTATTTTGATCCAACCATATGGCACAAGATCCATCATCAAAATAATAACTTATTTCATTTTACCACCCAATGCCCATGTCCACTATAAGAAAAAAAAATCTCCCCTTTCCATTTTCTCCCATTGGATTTAGATTAGTATTATAAAATACGAACATGCCAGGGGTATGAGCACCGAGAAAAAATATAAACCAGTTTGACCAGGGTTTAACTAAAATGGAAGGGCATCACCAACAATAGATAAAATGTAATCCACAATGGAAAGATGATGATTATCAGAAAATTGTATGACATCAAACTTAAAATCCCGATTCTAACAACATATCAACCAAAATAGGTCATGAAATCCTATAGTCTTGCGTTTCCATCTGCCATCAGATACATGAGGGGGGAACAACACTTAAAAACCTGGTCCAGGTTGTGTAAGATTCTTAGGCCCCAGCTACTTCAACCATTTCCTGTTCAACTGCACCTTGGACTACAGGATAATAGTGATAGTGAAGCTCCCCAACATCGTCGCCAGAAAGCTTCTTCCATCCATTTGGTCCCACGTGATAAACTGATTAAAAACACCAGTTTGAAACCAATATAAGTAAAATGTGTGTTGTCTACTCTGTGTGTGTGTGTGTGTGTGTGTGTGTGAGAGAGAGAGAGAGAGAGAGAGTTACCGCTTGCAACTCCACCACTGGCTCCATCACGGAATGTTGCATGATATATAGCCCTTCTAGCCAACTCAGCAGCTTCTTCAACAGACATATCGTACCGGTACCTAGCATAAGCAACTACAGTCAGTAGAATGATGATGCACCAAAATATAAAAGTTTGCAGAAAACAAGCAAAACAAGCAATGCATCTATACAAATAAAACTCAAATATACTCAGAAAATTGTAGGGAACCAAACGTCAGAGAAAAACTTTATATATTTGACGCAATAAAGAAAAAGAAGGCCAATTTCTAAAATTTCTATTAAGGCAAGAGAGAATGCCATAATTAAAGTCATAATAAGATAACTTCGATGGGTAAAAAGCAGAATAGTTATAAAAACAAAATGTGGTTGTGCTGCAACCACAACATCAGAGCAAGGGGATTCAATCATTTCGTAATCCAGTTATCCCAAAGATCAATCGAACCTCTAACAGAATCAAAGGAAAAGAAAAGCAGGTACATAAGTGAAAGAAATCTTATGTGGACAAAAAATTTCCCGTTTTATTAGACTCCCTCACTTATCTTAATCCTTTTAATTGTTTTTTCATTTCCCCTTTTTCTTTTCCAGAGACAAGTTCCCATGACATTCAAAGTTTTGAAACGGGTGTTTTTTTACACTTCCACTTGCTTGTAATACCTTATCTATAACTAAATCTTATGCACTTGTAATTCTTGTGTTCAAGTGTTCAATGCTTAATAAAGGGAAGACACTGCAGAAACAAAGACTCAAAAATATTGCACCAATAGACAAACAAAAAATTAAAGGAGTGAAAGTACACACCCATTATCGAGAACACCATAAGCATATGGTGAACCAGATCCAACTGAAAACCGCATGCCTTTCAATCTTCCTCCCTCACTGTCCACATAATAGAGTCCAGGACCCTGCACCCAGAAATAGATGCAGATTATGTGAGTACAAGTGACTGCAAAAAAATAAATAAATAAATAAAATCATGTGATAAGATTTGTATTTCATTACCGTTTCATCCCATCCAGCTATCATGGTCCCAACAGAGAGACCCATGCCACGGTAAGAGTACAGAATGTTTGCCAACAGCTTTGATGCCCCTGTAACTGAAATTCTGCGCTTGTTTGCCAATTCATGCAACCGGCACTGAGTTATTTCAAACAATTGATTGTTAGTAATCCATATAAGGAAAGATACAACAAATAATAATCCACTTTAACAGTATACTAAGCCAAAATAAAGAGCATAATAATCATGCCCTTAATAGGTGAACCCAAATATGATGCCACTACTATGACTCATGATAAAGTTTTTCGAACATATTGACCTTCCTCGTCCTTGTAAAAACAACATGATAATAAGTATAGAACACCAAAAAAATATATCCACCCCTTCAAAGTTGATCATAGCTGACAATTCTAAAATTGTACACTACAAAATAAGAAAACAAAGTACAAGAACTACCTTTATCCCTAGATTTCTATGCCAAAACTGGCAGTCAGCGGCTCCTCCAGCCATTGTACCAAGCATGTAAGGATTGATTTCAATAATTTTCTTCACAGATTGTGAGGCTGCAAAGATTAGGAAGAAGATTGTAAATGTGAACCCATGTTCCATAGCCAAAGACAAGGTACATGATTAACATTAGCAGAGACACTCTAAGACACCTAAACTAACATGATAAGACTATGCCAATGCGATGAACAAAGCACTTAATCAAAATCACTCCAAAAAGTGAAGAAGCCGCATCTTCATGGATACTACTAAGTTTAAGCATCACTCTCAATTAACCCAATAAAATGTTCATGGGACAAAGCATAGCACTATCACATATTTGCAAACAATTTGAAGTAATAAAATATTACATATATATCCTCCCATGCTAGCTCGAGAATCAGCGGCAACCATGACGCCTTCCTTGAAGATAAAAGCAAGTGTGGTTGTCCCCTTGGCAGGCTTCACCATTTGAATAGCTTCTTTCTGAAAGCCATCAAACTGAAGCAGGAGAAAAACTCATATTCAGAAAAATGTTACCACATAGTCTAAGAGGCACAGGAAGAAAGCACAACAAGCACATCACAACTCACATCATTGGTAGTAGGAACCTCGAACGACGGAGCATCTGCAAACCCATCGAGAAACCCACTGCTCGCGCCAACCAGCGGCGCGGCTGATTCAAGACCGCTAGTATCAAGCTTCATATCTCTTAAATTTCTGAGAAGAAAAGCATCGACCAAAAAAGAAAATTAAACCATCGACAGCTTTATGATCATGGTTCCAGATTGAACCCTAGAAATCGAAAGCTGGTTCAAAATGTTCAATTTGATGAACTCTGTTATGAAAATCGACAAAATTGGAACAAACTAGAGCTTGTGAAAATACCTGGACGATTGATAATCACGCAAAGGAAGAGGAAGACGAAGAACAGAGACGAAGATCGAGCAGAGAAAATTAATGGAAGGAATTCTTATTTAGACAGAGTGGGTTTCTTGTGCTCGAGGAAAGTGTTAATAGTGATGGCTAGGAGACTGCTTTGTCGACTTTGATTTTATTTTTGGGCCGAGATGGTAGGCCCAAGTTGGTCAGAGAACTGAAAATAAATTGGGCTTTTGTATTTGGTAAAGGAATAACTTGCGCATAATTGGTATATTTAAAAAAGAAAAAGCAAAATAAATACGATAATTTGCTGGCTATGGGGTTCGAACCCATGCGCACTTATGTGCAGAAGATCTTAAGTCTTCCCCCTTAACCTCTCGGGCAAACCAGCTGATGATGAAACCGTGTAAACTTTAAATATTTATATATGTACAAATCAATAACATTTTGTTTTATTTTTATTTTTTGTGGGGTATCCAATCATGGGACTCTTTTAATTGTTAGAAGTAAATTTCATGAAGAGAACGTGGACGGTATCGCGACTTTGAATATCACATGCAATATATGACCCACCAATATATGTATATATATATATATATATACATGTACAGACTACAGTCGCCCAGCATCAATCACTCACAGACTAGTTTCAAGAGAAAAACGTCAGGAGGACCACCTCCAATGATGATGTACGTACTACGTACACTACACACATTCCTGCATTGTTGTGATGATTACTAATTTTCGCATGTTCTTGGAATTGCCAAGAATAACCTGCAAGACATGGAAGAGCGCTTCGAATGCTTAGTTCATAGAAAATTTCAACAGATGTTTTGGTTTTGGATTCAAAAAAAAGCAAATGAGTTTTATACTACTTTCTGTGCCATTGTTTCACTTTAAGTTGAAGCCTGTGTATGAACTTTGTGTGCCATATACTTACCCTACCACCTGATGGCTACATGGGTGTAAAAAGAAAAAAGTAAATAAAAAAAACTCAAATTTTCAACTTGTTGACTACATGTTGAAGCCACCAGAGTAAACAATCATCACCATATACGCCACCCAAGGGTGATGAAAAAACTGCGAACTGAGGTAAGGGCAAAGGCGGGCAACAAATACACACATATTAACAGAGGATGATTTGGTCGAAAATGCCCTACTTAAACGTAGTGATCAAGGAGACTCTCCGTCTGCATCCTCCAATCCCACTATTATTTCCAAGAATGTCGACCCATGACGTGAACATAGACGGCTACAACATCAAGGACAACACACAAGTCATAGTGAACGCATGGCAGATCGGAAGAGACCCCGAAACCTACGACAAGCCGTAGGAGTTCGAGCCTGAACGTTTCTTGAATAGCGCCGTAGATTTTAAAGGAAACCACTTCCAATACATTCCATTTGGAGCTGGCAGACGACGCCTAGGGATTCAGTTTTCCATGGCGCTTAAAGAGATTGCTTTGGCAAATTTGGTGCATAAGTTTGATTGGGAGTTGCCTTGGGGTGCCGGTGGGGAGGACTTAGACATGAACCAATGGCGCCTCCATACAAAGAAAATATCCTCAAGCCATTGCAATTCCATATCATCCTGCAGCTGTATAATACAGTCCTAATTCTTCGACCCAAAAAAATATATATATATCCAATTCCGTCGCTTTAAATTAAATAGAAAAGTTTATATAGATTCAAATTCATATTGAGGAGTTGGGTTTAATCCTCGAATTTGGTAACTTTGATTCAAGTCTTTTAACTTTTGTGCCACATAGAATTACTAGACTTGGCAAACGGGTTGAATTAACGGGTTTCGGGTCGTGTTCGTGTCAACCCGTTAAGTTAACGGGTGACAAATACTAGACCCAAACACGACCCGTTACAATTCGCGAATATCCGACACGACCCGTTAACCCGTTAAGAATAAACCATAATTAATAATAATAATAATAATTTTTTATTTTTTATTTTTATTTTAAGAAAAAAAAAGGAACAACTATCACAACTTCTCTACCCCAGCCAGCCAACACGCCATCTCTGTCTTTTTTCCCCTAAACCCCAACCCTAACTGTTCTTCCCTCTTTACCTCTTCATTTCATTCTTCTCACCACAAAACAGTATATATATATATATATATATATATCTCTCTCTCACATATCTTAAAAAACCCAACAACTACATGAATTGAGGAAGAAAGAAAATTCAAAATTAACTGAGAGAACCAAAACCAACAACTCTAGAATCACAATCACCCTCTGTGGACTGACCCGAATACCTCCTCCTTGATCCCTGGTGGCTAGGCTGATGGAGTCTATTGAGTGGAGAGAAGAAGAGCAGAAGAAAAGAATGAGAGGAAGATGAAATGGAAAAGGGGAAAGAAGAAAAAGACACGGAAAAGAAGAAAGAAAAGAAAAATATTTTGCAAAATTACAAAATTAACTTCCTTAACGGGTGGCTAACGGGTTAACCCATTTTTGACCAGACATGACCCGTTATCTTAACGGGTGGCTAAAAGGTTTACCCGTTTTCAACCCAACCCAATAAGCTCAACCCAAATACTGATAATTTCGTGTGAATTCGTGTCGTGTTAATGGGTCGTATGCAATATTGCCAGGTATAGAATTACATTCCTTTTAAAATTATTTTATGTAATTTTTTATTATTTTATTTTTAAAATTATTTTTTGTTCCAATGTTGCCCCTTATGACTTGAATCGGGTAATAATCATTTAAGTCATATTGCCTATTGCATAGATATATATATATATATATTTTTTTTTCATATTTTTGACAATGTGTAGTAGTATTTTATGTAGCTTTTATTTTTATTTTTATTTTTATAGGTAACATCCAATTTTATTTTGTTTATTTTTGGTAGTTTTCTAATTTATGTTCCTAACTTATAGGTAACATGATTTATCACTAAATATTTTTCGTTGCGAATAGTAACACTTACCTGTATGTTAGGTACATAATTTAATGTGGGTGCTTGTCTGATCGATTGGTATAATTTGTGGGTCTTTACTTTTTATTGATTAAATTGTATTTTATCTATATATTAGGAATATTATCAAGGAAAAAAATTCAAAATTTAAATTCTGGAATTCAATTACAAGGAAATGATGCATTAAATTTAGTTTTTTCAATGTGTTTTTCTTATTTACCTCAAAGGGTAAAATTGACACAACAAAAAAAGTAATAAGTGTCAAAGGACCTATATCTAAAACAAAAAACGTGAGGACTAAACCCAATGACAACTAATCGTTTTGAACATAGATCTAAGAAGTCATAAATTTAATTAGATTTCCTCAGGAGCGGATCTGTTGTCTCCAATTCTTTGTCCCCATCATGTCCCCTCTCTAGCTATTTGCCATGTGTCATATAACTTAACAGAGAGTTAACTCTATTAACTTCTTTTTATTTTTGGCATTAAAAAAAAATTAAAAACCTCGAAAATACCAAGTAAAGGACCGTACGCATCCCAACAGTAACCCTAGTGGTCAATGCCCCTTCGATCCCATGGAGCAAATGCGAGTTGATCATGCGATGCCTTTGGCCGTTTCTACGTGGGCATGAATCTAGGTTGTGGAGAGCTTCTTGTTGTTAAAGATGTCCAAATTTTCTATTTGTTTTCTACTGTTTGGGGAGTTATCTTGAGTTTGCTTCTGTTCTTTTGAACCCTTGATTCTTTCGCGGTTTTTGTTTCATTTTGGTCTTGGAATGTCCCTTTAGTTGTGGCTTGTTATTTGTTTTAGGTTTTGGTTGATTTTTTCTTTGGGTTTCAATTTGATTTGATTTTATGAATAGAGAGGTTGGATAGGAGTGAGTTTATCTCCTCCAAATCAATTTCTTGCCTTTTTCATTTTTTGCTCAGAATCCTCCAAATTGATTTCAAAACTCACGTATCTTCCCTTTAAATAAAAATAAAAAAATAAATCATAAATCAAACAACCTCTTCATCGTTCTAGCATTTGTTTTACGTAAAAGATGAGTTGGTTTCATTTTGTGATTCATATGTCTTCTTCTTAGGGATTGTGATTCACTTATGCTTCATATCTCTTCCATTTTGTGATGTATTGGTTTTTAAGTTCACTGCACTTTTTTCTTGGAGATTTTTTTTTATAGGATTCTTTTAATGATAAAATAAAAGAAGTTAACAATGTTAAGTTACATGACATGTGTCAAATAATTAGAGAAGGTACACGAAGGGAACATCAAATTGAAGACAGCAGATATTGTACCTAGTATAAAATAAGGTGCGGTAACTTTAAACTCTTCTGAAGCATTTTAAGCATTTTAACAGGAAGCGGTAACTCGAAACATTTTAACCACTAGAATTTGATCATCCAAGCCTTTAACTTACTGATTGTCACTGATGATGATGTGAGCGATCCAATAAATGTAGTTTTGGGTATGAGCGATCCAGTTAGCACACCCCCTTACGGGCCTCTTTAATTGTTGAAGTAGTTTTCATGGAGAGAACGTGCCACACACTTTGAACATCACATGCAATCCATGACCCACTAATTTATTTGATACAACCAAATTATCACAAATATTTTCCTCAAACTTATAGCATGGACCAGCAAATATTATCCAACTCCATGGACCAAATTAATGAGAGCTTTCATTTCTTATACATGTTCATATGCCCGAACATAGTCACATTTTGAACTAATTTGTACCAAAACCAAAGACAGCCTCATTAAATGCCTTTTAAGACGGGCAACAAGCAAATAATAATTACGGCAAAAATTGAAAGTTCACATATATAGTCGTCTAGACTATTTTTGCTCATCATTTAAACCCAATTTATATAATATTTTATTATC